AATTTGTTTAATGGTTCAGTTTTCTGTATTAAGTAATGAATAAATAAATAAAAAGCTTAAAAACAAAATTATTTTTAGTTAAAAATATGTTGAGCATTAAAATGTAGGACACTTTTTACATTAAAATTGGGTATATTTCAGGTTAAAAACACACAATAGTGGCAAGTCTTTTTTAACTACATAAAATACATTAAATAATATATTCGAATTCATTTGGGGACATTCAAAATTTAAGACAAATCATGTAAAAACAGAACTGGGTGACCTAAGAACCCCCTGTATACGCAAAAAAATTATTTCTTTTGGTTACGAATATCATTTTCCTATGATCGTTATGTTATGAATGAAAGACCTAGAAAAACATGGCATCATAACTGGCTACTATTTCGGGCATTTTTTTTCAAAGGGGCTATTTAGTTGGGAGAATAAAAGGGGTTTGACAACAAAGTTTTTTTTTGTTACAATATACTAAAAATTTAAGGGGATAAATATAACAAAATGGAATAAGTTATATATAGTAAATTATGCCAAAACGTAAATTTAAAAAAACTATATTTTAAAAAATCATAAAAGCCTTTTGTATTAAAAAAAAATTTAAAACTGTTGGCAAAAAATTCTGTTCACAATACCCTTTAATGGTGTAAAAATTTAGATATCATGATACACTGTTGAATATAGTTTTGCCCTTTTTTTTTGAATGTTTTTTTAAAAGATTTTGTCCTTTTTATTAGGTTCCTCTTTACAATGACTTAAGGATTAAATACAACCTTCGTATATTATCAGATCCAAATGAACTAATTTTTTATAATTTCATGTTTTTTTTGTCAAAATGTAAAAGTATTAGAGAATTTGTATATTTTGGGTATTTTGCTACAAAAAAAAAAGAATACATTTTCTACTTAGCTAAAAATTTTAAAATTTCTTACAAACATAAAAATATTTTTAAATAATTTGGTATAATTTCTGTTTTCTTTACAACATATAAGTCATGTTATTTCCCACAGAATGTTATATATTATATGTATTGTGTTATATGTGTAGGGGTGGGGGCCCCGATTATACAATCATTTTGAATTTGAATATTTGCTGATGAAACCCAAAGTTCCAAAAAAGCTGCTTTGTACAATGTATTATGGTACAAGTTGACGTTATACAAGTGTCAAAATGTTTTATTATAATTATACGTATATGCGCTTAATTAGACGTATTGTAACAGACGGTGTGTTTTGGTTACATACACCAGGTACTTGCCAACACACTTCTTGAAGAGATTATAACAGAATTTATCATAGAGTGTTGTGTGTTATGTTGTACAACCTAAGCTAGAGAACATTGTATATAAATATAGAAAGATACCTGATGAAATACGCAACGGTTTCTTGCAGTATAAAAATGTATGATATAAAACACTTCATGAATGCATTGTGTGCTTACGCCAAAGCCAAGAGAAATGAAAAAGTAAGGAAATATTGTTTTGTGAAGATTTAAAGGAAACCATTTGCAATTAAAACTAAATGTCATTTATGGCATAATTAAAGTTCGACCAATAGCTTTGTTAATATGTGGGTTACTAAGGTGTGTGCACCAATAACATTTTAACAGGGTATATTTCTAAGTTTAACATATTTTTGCCACCTCAGTTTGTCATTTTAAGAGCAAGTAATTGACAGCTAACCTATTAATAAGTACCCCTGCATATCCATTTAAAAAGTCAAAATTTACCTGTGCGGCTGTCTCCTCTGGTCTTATTTCTGTGCTGAGTAGAGTAAGATCGAACTTTTTGTTTGACTGTTGATCTCCTGGAATACGCCTGTGACCCAATTGTTCATAGAGAGTTTCCATCTATAAAAAATGATAGATGTTATTGCAATATAACTACTGTCAATAAATAGAAATAGAAAATTTTGGTCAAGCGTTATACACCTTCTGTAGAAATGAATACATGAAACATTGAATGTTTTAGTATATCATTATCGGTATTATTCACCATCTCGTGATCAAAATTGAACCCAAAATTACCCTATTTTTTATTACATCATAAGCATGTATGTATAAAAATTAAGTGGTATACTGAACGACAGGAGTTTCTTTCATTCAAAAGCGTACTATTTTTAGTCTTGAAGTATAAATATGAAAATTATTCCGGATTCATATTTTATGGGTCACCTAATGATATAATAGCATTATTATTAAAATCAAACCCCATTTATGTTGCTTTAATATTTTTAAACATCCAGATTACACGAAACATAAATATAATGTAACTAACTGATAATGAGTGTTGAACGTTGAAATAATCAATCTTTCAATTCAATTCAATTCAATTCGTTTATTTGTATATATGGCCTCCGGCCCAAACACAATTTATACAACATCACATATATAATACATACATTGCATGTGGTTATGATCAGACTGTACAATATGATATTTAAAAAACTTATTAATTATGTGTGTACATATACACTATTCAGACATACTGATAAATTCTTCTCTCTCTTTAAAAGAATAATAAATGTACATTGATACATTTCGTATTATATCTACATTTTCACTTGACATTAAATCATAAAATTTTTGTATATTTGGATAACGAAAATAATAATCTGGCAAATATTTTGAACGAAGATTAGCATATAAAGGACATACAATCATAAAATGAAATTCGTTTTCAATAGTAGTTTCACAGTAAATGCAAACACGATATTCTTTGTCAATGTTAAAATGCCTTCCTTTTTCAATCATAAGGTTATGTGATGAACAACGGAAATTTGCTAGACATTTTCTAAATTTATCAAAATCTATAACTTTAATATATTTTTCAGCCCAAAACACTGCTTAAAATTTATATAATGACACAATTTACTTGTTTCAGCACATCTAGCAGACCAACATTGCATTGCCTGATCTTTTAATTTCTGAACATATTGAATTAAAAACATTTTGGGGTTTACAACATTTTGAGACTTCCCACACATAGCCAAAACCATTTTCATATAAATTTTGTCTTACATCACTAGCCAATTGTGGTATCCTAAATTATCAAAATATACAAGCATTCATAGCAGAGTCTAGTATATCTATGTCTAGGTAGATTTAATAATCTTATCCAAAATTTAATGCACCGTTTAGATGCATACACGCTCTGGGGAATCTCCTGTATCCAAGAAAGGGTATTCAAGCTGATTTTTTAATTTAAAAATTTTTTTAATGAATATTGCAGGTTCTTACGTTTGGTTTTTTGGCCCCCTTTTTCCGCCCCATTAAATTACGAGGGGCCTTTAAGTAAAAAATTAAAAAATTTTTTATATGGAAAATGACATGCTAAAAAAATTTAAAATATCAAAGTCCTTTTGGCTTGTTAGAAAGATTCGGCATTTTATTAAAAAGAAATTTTTTTGGAAAAATATTACCAAAAATATGAAACCCCATTAAACAATTTTAATTGAACGTTATCGTCTTTTTCTTTCTAGTATTGACCCCCAGTTTAAACAAATATTTTATTTTTTGAATTTACAGTTATTACTTTGTGTACAAAAACTGGTTTAATATATTTAATTGCTTTTGTAGCCCAACAACTGTATCTGACATTAAAGCAATATCATCAGCAAATAGCAATATAAAAAATTTCAACAATATCAGGAAATAACTGAATTCCTCTTTATATTTTCATTTTGTAAACAGTGACTGTAATCATTTATGAAATTTGCAAAATAATACCGGACTTAAACTACATCCCTGACGGAGTCCAACTGGAAAAGAAAATAGATTCAGTTACCCCCTCATTTGATCTAACACATGCTTTAACTGACGAATAAATTTGATGTACTGCCTCAAATAAGTGACCTTTTATTCCATTTATTTTTAAAAAATCTCAAACAATAAACCTCTATCTACTGAGTCAAAAGCTTTTTGGAAATCTACAAAAGCTACATATACTGATTTTCCTTTCATATTTAAATATTTATTAACAATAGAATATAAAACAAAGCATTATCAACTGTAGTGTATCCAGCTCTAAATCCAGCTTGAGCTTCTGAGAGCTTACTGTAAGCCTCAAACATAGAATGTTAATCTTTTAGTAATTATTGATATATAAACCTTACTAAACACCTCTAATAATGCTATGCCCCCTATATTATTTGGGTTATTCAAAACTTCCTTTTTTGTTTGCAAAGGTATAATGACTGATTTTGCCCAACAATCAGGGAATTCACCACGTGAATATAATCTTTGAAAAAGGTTACGAATATAAAAGGTAATAAAACATTAACGCCGTAAACTAGTTTTGGGGTATAATCTTGCCACTATGAGATTTATTAATGTCCAAAGATTTTATACCTTGTAAAATTTCCTCGTCTGTGATATTAGAATTAAAAATAAGTTCTTCAATTTCATCAAAGTTACACTTACATTACAATTATCATCCCTTATGTCATTTATATCATATTCATTCTCATTATTTGAAAATAATGAACTAAAATGTTCAAACCAAACGTCAAGTGAAATATTACATAATGGTTTCGGTTTGTTTAAAAACCTTTTTAACTTCAGACCAAAACTTTTTGGAATTATTTACAGAACTCTCTCTACTTTATGCAGATATATTTTCTATTAAACAACTGACGTTTCCGTCTACACATATTTTTTATAATTACATTTACTCTGTATATATTCAAGTTAAGTTATGATCCGATCTTTTGCATCTCAACCTTTTCAACATTTTCTAGTGGTTTGTTTTGCCTTTTTACAGTCTTTATCAACCAATTCATAATGTTAGCCTTTTTTCTTTTTACCCTTTCAAACTGTACACTACTACTACAAATAACTGATTCAAATTCTTGCATAACTAAATTTAATATCAACATCATGATCCCTTAACATTGTATCTAGAGCAGAAAAACCCCTTTAAAATATATTTTTGATAAAAAATTTAGATAAGCTTGCATTATTTTTAGTAGATAAAAAAACTTCATTTCTAACTTTAAATTTTTTTAAAATTACTGAAAAGCTTCACATCATGTTTGGGAAATGACGTTTTTCTGTATTAGTTGTATTTCAAAACTTTTTTAGCTAAAAAAATATTTTTTAAAACCAATAAAATAATCTGGTACTGCATCTTTTTGATTTAAATGTGAAGCCTCATTCAGTACATTTCCCAACCGCCTTTTAAAATAAAACCCAAAAAATATTTGAAAAAATTTAAAATTTCACCCCAAATTATTTTTTTTATATTCGAGGACTCTTTTTAAACCCCATTCTTATCAAATTTTTTAAAAATTTTTTTAGTCAGATACATTCGTATCGTTGAAAAATAAAAAGACCCCCTGTTCTCGCATTTTAAAGCCCCCTTAAACTTAGCTTAATCAAATATTTTTTTATTAAAAAATGTTCAAGTTGCTGAAAATCCTGTCAATAATGTCGTTTAGAAGGGGGAACATCTGGGGGGGGTATTTAAATGAACCATTAGTTATCTCTCTCTAACTCAAAAAATGATTTATCGATAAATTAACCAAAATTAAATTCATTCTACCGTTTAAATATTTAGAAAAAGTGTTTTTAACAAAAATGTTTTACCCCCTTGGTTTCCGCAGATATGAATTTTTAGGGGATGAAAAAACGAAAATCTAAAATTTTTTCACAAAATTTGGGTCAAGATCCAGTCTCTTTTAATAAAATAAATCATTATTTTCAAAAAAACAATAAAATATAATTGCAATTTCTTTTAAAACCCCTTTTAATTCCCCTACAAAATTTTTTAATCCCGTAAACAGTTGGGGTTTGGCCCTTTCCCTTTTTCACACCTGTCAAACAACCCCGCTTTCTTCACCCGTCGTTACAAAATCCTATTGATGCGTCTTCCTGATTTTTTTTCCCGAATCTACTGCACGCTTTAAAACCCGATGTGCATCAAAATCCGTCCTTGCTTTTACCCGGGTTTATAAGTATAAGTTTACCCTTTTAAAAGTATAAAAAGCCCCTCTGCTTCTTCTTCATTGCTTTCGTTTTAAAAAAAGGACAATATTTGTATCGAATGCCTTTTTCTGTTGTTCCCTAAAATTTAAAAATTTAAATTTTTTTTTCACAAATTTTCAATTTGGGGGTACGGGGAAATTTTTGCTCCCTTCTTTAAAATACCCCTTTTTTACTTATAAAGAATTTCATTAAAAGAAACTGGTTTCCGTAAATAAACCTTATAAAAATAACCCCACTCCCGTGAATTTTTTTCAGATCGAATTTGCCGACCAAATATTCTTAAGGATGATTTCAATCTCTCCGATTCCATAAAATTAAGTTGTAATTCTAAATTAGTAAGCGTTCCTCTTTTTGATCATCAGCTATAGATAATGAAGCAACATCATTAGCAATTACCTCTTGACCATATTCTAAACTCTCAACTTTTGACTTAATGGAAACAATTTCTTCTCTCAAACATCCTATCTCATTCTTAACACAATCAACCTGATTCTTTACATATTTAACTTCTTCTTTTGTTTTCCTCTATTGCATTAAGGATTAACCGAGTATTTTCATCAGGACGATGACCCGACTTTGTTCCAGGTCCAGGTCCAGGATTCGTTTCAATATCTGATGACAATATAAGCAGACGTTTCGGATAATATTTGAAATAACCATATGGGATACATGATGAAACATCTCCGTGCATAGATCCTTGCGTAATAGTGAATGACAAAATTGCATATATCTGCGTTTGGCGAAGAAAAATTGTTAACTATGCATGTTTTCGACGTCACAACTCCATAGAGAACTAGTACGCAAATCAAAGCGTATAAGCTACATGCAAAGGTTCTTAGGTGGATGTCTGTCCCTTTAGTGAACTT